AGCTGCAGGAGACTTGTGGAGACAAGTCTAATCATCTAATTGTTGTTCATAGCTCATTCCTGTAACACAGTTATGTTACTGTAAAGGTGTTACATACTTTGTAGCCAAACACGAATTGCATGATTGACGCAATGAACAATGTGTGAGAGATAGGAAACACCTTAAGTCTACACCCTTTTGCTGCAGGCGAAGGCCTGTACCAATTTTGCATATCAAAAATAAGCTAATGTCTTCAAGGTGGAAGAACCGCACCTTGTATAATCATTGGACACAATTTATTCCTCTAACACCGGGGATCAACCTTGTTGCTTTCCTCTGCAATGCCTCTACGATCTGGGCAGTTCCCTTATGTCACGGAATCAGAATGGTATGCAGCGCTCCTCATGTAACTTGAGAGGAGCTTGAAAATGATGTCTACTGCTCTGAACTCCAATGACTTGGAATAACCTGTTTGCCTTGTTCACTACATTTTAGTTATAGTTCAGCTTTGTAGGGCTGCTGTTGGTTAATAAAACAACGGGATTCCATGGTTCCAACTCCCGGCCAGTCCTGTTTACCTGCCATCCTCTCTCCCTGAGGCCTCAATCAGCCTCCAGTTTTGCTCCGAGACCTTGTTATGGAGTTCCCATCAATAAGTGAATCTTTTTCCACATTAGGCATTTTTATACAGTCTCTCTCCTGTATGCCATCGCTGGAGAACCTTGAACTCCCCTGATTTTGTGAAACTGTCCATATTTGGCACATTTAAACAGTGTCTCTCTCTCTCCCTCTCACCTGTGTGCCATTGCTGATGACTCTTATTAAAATTTGGTCATTCACTTGCTGGCTGTTTGCGGGATATTTCTGTGTGCTCTTTGAAACATCCTCCTCTCTTGATAAAACATTACATCACATGCAATGATTATTTATTTTTATTGCTGTGTGGAAATTGACTGCTGCATTCGCTCACTAATATACATTCACAAAATCAATTAACAGTAATAATGATTGTGCCATTATAGGTGTCAAATCCAAGGATTGTTGTTGTTATTATGGATTAGCAGCAACTCATTTTATTGTAACTACACAGGGTCCTTCTTCCACCTCCGCCACATTGCCTGCCTCTGACCGTAGCTCACCCCAAATGCAGCCGAAACCCTCGTGCATGTGTTTGTCACCTCCCGCTTGGTTTACTCCAACACACTCCTCGCTGGTCTCCCCAGCTCCACCATTCACAAGATCCAGCTCATTCAAAACAGTGCCCCCCACATACCTACCCGAACCAAACTCCGCACCCACATCTCACCAGTTCTGGACAGGCTCCACTGGCTCCCTGTCACCGAATGGATCAACTTCAAGATCCTCACTCTCATGTTCAAATCCATTCATTCCCTGGCACCTCCCTACCTCTCTGACCTCCTCACTCCTCAATCCACCACTCGGGGCCTCCGCTTGACTGGCACCAGTCTCCTGCTCAACCCTCGCACCCTTCACTCCATCATTGGAGGTTGTGCTTTCAGCCACTGTGCCCCAAAACTCTAGAACACTCTCCCTCAATCCCTCCGCCTTGCCCTCTCTCTCCCCTCCTTCAAGTCCCACCTGAAAACGTTCCTCTTCAACCCTGCTTACAGCCACCTTCCCCCGCCCACCCCGGCTTGGAATCAAGCTCCGTCACTGTTAAGCATTCTGAGATGCTACCCTGTGTGGAGAGCGCTATATAAGTGCAAATCATTGTTGTTGTTTGTTGTTGGTCCATGAAAGAAAGAAGGCCATTCAGAATAGCTACATGGGACAGCTACCCTTTCTGAGGTTGAGAAGAAACTCCAATTGACTGTAAATGCAGCTCCTGCCGACAATGGAAACAGTGTTAAGGTGACACTGATCATCTCCAACAAGAACAATGAGAAAAGAGTCTGCCGCCTTCTGTTTGCTGCTCTTAAAAAGACATATAATGGAATAACTAACAAAGATTATGAAAAGAAGTACAACAAAGAATATCACTGTTGAACCCAGAAAAGGTCACAGAACAGCTATTCATTTTGTATCTAAACTATTATTAGTAATGGTGCTGCCCATAGCACAGAAACTGCCCTGGTCAAGGTCACCAATGACATCCTGACCATCTGTGACCAGGGATCCCTCGGCCTCCTCGTCCTCCTCGACCTATTGGCAGCATTCGATACGGTCGACCACGCTATCCTCCTCCACCGCCTGTCCTCCCACCTCAACCTTCAAGACCGTGTACTTGAGTGGTTTAGGTCATACCTCTCCCACCGTCTTCACTTTGTTTTCACGAATGGCTTTTCCTCCACCCCCCGCACTGTCTCGTGCCGTGTCCCTCAGGGCTCTGTCCTCGGTCCCCTCCTCTTCACCCTCTATATGCTCCCCCTTGGTGACATCATCTGCAGACATGGGGTTAACTTCCACATGTATGCGGATGACACCCAACTCTACCTTTCCTCCTCTACCCTCAATTCCACGACCACCGATGTCCTGACAGCTGCCTGTCCGACATTGAGTCCTGGACGAGAGACAACTTTCTTCAGCTCAACGTGCGTAAAACTGAGGCCCTCCTGAGCTGTCCTTTCTCCCTCATATCCGCGCCATAACTGGCACTGCCTTCCATTACTTCTGGAACATCGCCAGACTACGGCACTACCTCACCCCTCACGCTGCTGAAACTCCGGTCCACGCCTTTATCACCTCAAGGCTGGACTATGGGAACTCTCTCCTCGCCGGCCTTCCCGGCACCTCCCTCCACAAGCTGCAGGTCATTCAGAACTCTACAGCTCGTGTACTGTCCCGCACCAGGCTTCGCGGCCACATCACTCCCACCCTCGCTCGCCTCCACTGGCTCCCCATCCCCAGAGGATCGAATTCAAGATCCTCATCCTCACCTACAAGGCCATTCACGGCCTTGCTCCCTCCTACCTCTCTGACCTACTATCCCCCTACCTACCTGCCCGTACCCTCCGTTCCTCCGGCTCCGGTCTGCTCCACGTCCCCGCCCCAATCGCCCTACCATCGGTGGTCGGGCCTTCAGCCTCTCAGCCCCCAGGCTCTGGAACTCCATCCCCCAGTGCCTTCGCCTTGCTTCCTCCCTTTCCTCCTTCAAGGCCGGTCTCTAGACCCTTCTCTTTGACCGAGCCTTCAGCTCCCCTCTCGACTCTCTACCCCCTCCTCGCTCCCTCCCTTCCCTCCCCTCACCTTGACCATTTCCCCCCCTGCTCGGGTCCTGACCCAACAGTACAGCGCCTTGGGACGTCCTCTCGACGTGAAAGGCGCTCTATAAATGGAATCTTATTGTTGTTGCATTCATTATTGGTGACATGCTGCATACATTGTACAAACCTCTACCTTGAGAATAAAAGTCTGCCTGAAACCATTGTGTGCCCACCCACCCTAATGTTTGTCAACTGAGAAGCTAGAAGAGACTGAGCTGCAACTTCTCGGAGTTGGTACAGAACCTTGGTGTCTTGTTTGTCTCCCAAATGTTCTTTAAACCCCACATCCATGCTCAGACCTTCTCAACTATTCCCATCTCCGAAACAATGGCTGCTATTAGCACTCCCTCGGGCCTCTGAGATCCTCAGCCATGTGTTTATTACGTCTAGGCTTGACTATTCAATGATCTTCTCTCCATGCCTATCACCCCCATCTTCATTCGGTTCCATTCCCTCCCCATCCCCCAATGAATTGATTTCAAGATTCTCATCTTAAGATCCTCAACTTAAGCTCCCTCGATGGTCTTGCAAGCACCGGCCTGCTTCATGTCTCCGCTCTACGTGCCCCTCCATCAGTGAGCGGGCTTATATCTCTTTTTAAGGTCTCCTCTGAGATGTCTCCTTTCAAGACTGAAGAACCCTATCTTGCTTAATTGTTGCTCATAGCTCATTCCTCTAACATTGGGGGATTATCCTCATTGCTCTCTTCTGTCTCAATCACTATCACTGGATGGTAAAGTCTGAATTTAAACCTTGCCATAAGATTAAAGCATTCCACTTCCTTTCAGGGACAGTGGGGATTGAGTCTGCACAACACTGTTAATAGCTTAGCTTTGGCTCAGTGGTTTTGGCAATGTGAAGAGTAAAGAACAGGAATCATAAATAGCCTGGAAACAATTCCCAATGTGTTTCATATTGGTCGTTAAACATAACTCACACTAATTAATGTCTTAAACGTGAGCGAGGCTAACACCCCGATGGAAAGAGACCGCAGGCAATTCTATATTCTGTTTGATATTCCCTTTGTTAATTCATAATTATGGGTACATGTATGCATTTGAACAGGGCCAGCCCAAAGCATATGTTAGCCCAATTATACAAATAATCATAATCCTTACATTTGGCATAGCATCTTTTCACGTCTGGAGCTTCACAGAATAAACTGTAAAGTGCAGTCACTGTGTTTGCTTTGTGAGAAAACACAATTTGCAAAATGCAAGAAAAAGCCAATTTGCGGATAACAATGTCCCACAAACGATCTTTGAAGTTAATAATCAACATTGCTATATCAAATTCAAGGATTATTGCATTTATTCTTCCCTTCAACCTTGCCAAATACCTGTCAGACCTACATTTGCCAGTTATTTATTTTATTTGTACTATATAATTTTTACTCAGATCATCTTCATTTTGCTCCTCAGAATGAACTTAGTCATTCTGTGTCAGGCTGGCTCAGTCAGTAGCATTCTGACATGAGTCAGGTTATGGAAATAAGTCTCAAATCAGTATTGGAATCCATTTAGTCCAGGCTGGCACTCCAATGCAGTGCTAGGGGTACACCACATTGTCAAAGGTGGCTTGAGGTATTGCTGTGTGTATATCGGTTGCTGCGTTCGCCCAGAAAATACAATCACAGCATTTACAATATATCCTTCGCGACATCTCAACACGTGCTAAGGCACTACAAGGATTATTATACTTTTTGTTATGGAAGTGGGATAAGCAGGAAGTAAAGAAGCACTGAGTCACAATAATCATGGCACTTTCCCCTTGTCGGGAAAACATTCGAAGTTTGAGTTCCCTGTGAGTTAGGCATTTTTTTAATAAAACATTCCTTGAAAACCCGATTGAAGACAGCATCTTGCAAAAATACCCAACTTTAGCAATGCATGATCAAAGTAAATCTTGACATGTATGTTAATAATTCTGTGTGAGAAGCTGAGTATCTTAGAACACGCTAAAGTGATGCACACAACTGCAGTGTGACTTGGAAAGTTTCAGGCACTTTTAACGGTGATGGTTTTGAATCCTTTGACATCCTTAATTTTATCGCAATCAAAATCCACCAAGAGGTCCCTCATGCCTGATTTGGTTGGTACGATTGTAATCTGCACTGTTGTTGCGTGATTTACACTGATCTCATCAATTCTGAAACAAGAAGCAAAGCAACTCATCAGTTCAGCGAAAGGAGTTTACGAAGAAAATAGCTTGAGTTTAACAGATAAAATAAGCATGCTTTGCCCACAAAATACAGTCAATTCACATTACAGTATATTCTGTGAAGTGCTTTGAGAGGTTTCAAAGACATGATAAGGCACTATATCAAATGCAATGATTATTATTATTATTATTATCATGACTTTGAGCACACAATCTAGGCTAACACTCCAGTGCAGTGCTGATCACAATGTTAAACCAAAGTTCTGAACATGCCTATTCAGATGGACATCAAAGATCCCATAACGCTATTGGAAAGAGAAGGGAGTTTCCTTGGTTTCGTGGCCAACAATCTCCAAATCAAATTTGGCATTCACTTGCCTGTTTGTGGGATAATATTGCTGTGTGCAAATTGGCTGCCATTTTTGCTTACAAATAAACAGTCACTACACTTTACAGGAAATGCTGCAAAGTGCCTTGAGGCGTTAAGTTGACATGGTAAGGCGCTGTACCAAATGTAAGAATCCTTATTACTACATCAAATGCGCTTCAATATGGACTTTCATGAGCCGGATATGACTAACCTGTCTGCATACATTTTACAATGATAATCTTTTTTTCATTACCTTGTCTCGAACCAGTCAATCAGTCCAGGTCCTTCAATTGTCAAGACACATTGATTTAGAGGTACAGGCAGAGGGTTTGCGATATAGATTTCTACTTTCACCTCTTGATTCTGCACTGGCTCATCCAGGAACTAAGAAAGTGAATCAAGATTTAGCTTTCCAAATATGCTTTCTTTCCACAACATTTAAAATAGTTCATACAAGGCCCTTATCGAAACAGCTCACAGACTTTGAACCAAACAGGATTCACTCAGAAGCACACGACACAATAATTCCCTTCCACACTTTAGAAATACTGGGGTAAAAGAAATGTCACATTGAATCCGTTCCGAAATTTAGTGTTTCTCGTCCCTTCAAGAACTGTTTTGTACCAACTATATTTAACATTAAGGTCCCCTAATATCCCTTTGCTATCTGTATGCTCTATGCACCACGAGGCATGGCAAAGGAGAGCAACAACGAGAGGAACAATGAGAGGTAGGAGCTATGAGAAATAGAAAAATAGATATTTACGGCACAGCGAAAGGCCATAATGAGCTAAACTTGGCTCTTCAGCCTTGGACAGATATCTTAGATGGGACCTTATAAAAGGTATATAAGTTGATAAATGAGATTGAGAAAGTAAACCCAGAGCAATACAGTATTCTCATACCAGCCAAGGTAGCAGAAGAAAAGGACACAGATTCAGGACTGTAAAGGACAAGTTCAGGACAGACACAAATAGACAGAAATGCAGAATGGATATGGAAGGCGTTTAATGCCTGGGAACCAATGTAAGGAAGGGTGGTTGAAGCCAGGATGCTGAACATTTAAAAGCAAAAGGTGTTGTATTGGGAGGATGGTAGGGTGTGCATTTTGCAAGGATGAGCCTTCTTTATCCGAACTTCTCTTGCAATCACCTTAATGTCGACGCTCGGATTTTCCAGACTGATGATTTTTGTGGCAAACAAAGTTTCATTTGATTCTGTGTCGCTTCCAACAGCTGTCAGCTTGATCAGGTTGTGTTCGATAAGCAATTTACCATAATCGTTGTAAGTCAGTTCTATTGGGACAGGTTTCTCTGAAAGATCAGGTAAGAATACCGATAAAAATTACAGTATCCCAGAAAAATACAAAGGATCCCCGACAACCTTTGAAATGCTCACTTATTTATTTACGTAAGCAATATAAAATACAAAATATGCGACAACTAGAATGGGAAATCTTTTAGCAGAAGATCCACAAAATAACTTTCTACAAAGTCCCAATAAAAAAACTCTGTTACCTGCATGGGGTTCAACAACAATTTTGTTGATGTTCTTTGTTATACTTTCCTTTATGGGTTTCCCAGTGTACCTTATCACTTGAGCACAAAAGTTCAGCTTGTATTCAGTTCTCTTGTCACTTTTGTTAGTGATGTTCACAAAAGCATTAATATCTTTGCCAACTGAGATAGACTCTTCAGTCTGCACAGACAAATTGAATTGCTTCTCTTTCAGAAACTCATGCTTATTCTTCAGCTCAGCGATACTGAAAACCATTCTTTCTTTAGCATTGCCTGAATTGATTTGCAAATAAAGGGCATGGAAGTGAAAAAAAACTTTATAATAATCAAGATTTTTAATCTATTGCTCTCTTGTTTGCATGCAGATTGCACGTAAATTAAATATTGTGTTCCGAGTGAAAATGTTATAATTAAAAAGTTATGATTTTAAGAAAATTCTTTCCATGTTTCAATTGCTTAATAAGTTCTGTTTCAGTTCCTCACCCTCAGGGTATTTGTAATTTGCTGTGATATCCTCGCGTTCTTTGCTCCCAACAGCCTTGGTACTGATCTTTTGGCCGACATATGTGGAATTAATAAATGTCTTTTCCTTTCTACCATTTCTGTAGCAGAGCCAGTCCACTTTATCTGCATTGACCTCTGCGTACACAAACGGAACATCGAACTTCACATCCAGTTGCCCTTCTTTTATTGCTTTGACTGGAGCTGGTCCACAACAATAGACTCCTTAAGAAAAATAAGGAAATAGATTATTTACATTGAATAATATACATGGAAACAAGCAATTCGGCCCCATGAGCCTGTGCCGACATTCATACTCAACACGAATGGCCACCCCTATTCCCCTTTGCTTTACGCCTCTGCTCCCTTTTCTCTCATACATGCATCACATTTCCTCTTAAATGTATTGATGAACATTTGAGAGTAATTTTGAGAGTATGTTTGAATAAAATGAGATTCCAAACTAATGTGTCCGCAATGGGGATATTTACTGTTAGCACTGCCTGTATTGTTATTGTGATATAACCTCAATTTATTCACTTGCGTAATAGTTTGAAAAATTCATAATTTTCTATTTTGGTATTTTGCTATAAATATAGATATTTATAATAAATGGTGAGAATGACCTACTCTCGAGCAAGATTTGGAAAGATGCTTTTGCATAAAAAGAAACAAATAAATAAAACAAACCTAAAGTGAATGACAGATTTTATCTGGTAGATTGTCAGCCAGGTCACTGGGAGAAACTCTCTTCGTTTATCAAGTAGGAAGCTTTAACATCCACTTGAACAGGCAGACAGGTCCTCAGTTTAATATCTCATCTGAAGGACGGCATCTCCACCAATGCATCATATCCTCAACATTGCATAGGTGTGTCAGCCTAGACTATTTGAGTTCAAAGTTCCAAAATGGGGCTTGAATCCATGAACTTCTGACTCAACTTCTTAAGTCACACATTTAGAGTTTTTGGACAAAGACAAAATGCTCAAATTCAACTGACCCTATTGATATTTTGTGCCCTGGGCTGCAAGTGTATTGAGTTCTTTACCTTCACTTTTCTCCTGTGGTGTTGGATCCAGCACCTGCCATCCATCAAAACCAGGCTTGAGATCATTTCGAGCCATCCAAGCTTCTATCCAGACATGGAAATTCCTGAAGTATGGAAACAGAGAATACAAAGTTCCTCCATATCAATATGTATCGTAATGATAATTTGAATATGTTTCTGTTCCTGCTGCACTCCAGTTAAATGCTCAAAGAGTTCCCTGCAACTTTTTCCTTGAAGACCCGTTTCACGACCCTCCTCTTCAACCATGCGTTCGGTCACCCTTTTACCCTTACCCTCCCCGCCCTCCATTCCTCCTGATCCCAACCACCAGTTCAGATGCAGATTCCTGACTGTCACTACACATATAATTTGTTGTTGGTGGTGATCTGAGGCCCAGTCTTAATCTATGCATTAGCTATGACTACATTAAATAGTGGGTCAATGAAATAGCATTAACTAGAAGTGCTCGAATAAGGAGAGAAATGCTGAAGGATGGAGTGAACGAGGAGGATATTCAACAATAACTTGAATGTATACAGCCTTGTTCACCGCAGAGTACTTTACAGTGGTGGATCTTAACAGCGAACTAAGGTAATCGTAGGCACGATCAAAGAGGAAGGACTTCAGGTAATCTAACGATGGTAAGGAGGGGGCAAGGTGAAGAGACTGAGCCAGAGAGCTCCAGAGTTTCAGGGCATAGTGCTGAAAACACAGCTGCTGATGGTTGAGAGGAGGGAACCGAGGAATGTGCAGAAGGCCAGCCACCTGAGCAGTGGGGTGGAGTTTAAGCAAGCCAAGCATTCAGTTAATTGAGCCTACTTATCAGTACATGGCAGATCTTTTAATCCCATTTTCCTGCATTCATAGCTTTACTTCCCAAATATTCATCTCTCTCCCTTTCAAACATTCCAATCATTGCTGTATCCACACCTCTCTGGGACAACCCATTCCACATTTTCAAAACCCTCTGTGTGAAGAAGTGTTTCTCACTAACCACCCTAGTTCAAATTTAAAGATTACTTGCCTGGTTATGGATTCCTCTATCAAAGAAAATAGAAGTTTGGCTTGAGTCTTCACTCACCAAATACTATCTTTGCTCCTTCCAATCATTCCCCCGTATTCATCAACCTCATTGTCAACAGTTAAGTTCCCATTGGTGTCATGCGCAGATTCAAAGTTTGTGACCACACGTGTAGGAATTCCTAAACACCTCAAAACTAATATCAAACAGAAAAGCAGATCAATACATACATGACATCAGGGCGTCAAACAAGTGGCAATTCACAATGAGTAAAGATCTAAATCTCTAAAGGAGAATCTCTATGAGTGAAATCCATTGCAAGTCACCACTGTTCAACCCCAAAGCAGCACCGTTCCTTGCTACAGAACTACAGGATGGTGAAAAGTCCTTTCATCTTGTTAATTCAGTTTACAATGGATTAAGCAATTTGCATTGCTATTTTGAGAAACACATTTCCTGAAGATTGCATTCAATTTCCTTCAAAGTTAAAACTATCGGTGTGTAAATTGAATAAAATGTTTTTGCTAGGTTCTGCACCTTCTGAAATAATGGTGCTTAAAAGAGTAAATCTCAATCCATGTGGAATTTCTCCCAAGTAGTTTACTATTAAAGTGAATTTAAAACATTAAAATCCAAATAGTCAGACAATGCCATTGTTTTGTTTCTCTATTAAGAATTTGTGATTGTGACGTATTTATTGTGGGTGAAACCATGCAGTGCCTTTGTAATAATTATCACTGGTGGTTATGATCACAGTACAAGATAGTATTTTTCACATCAAGATTCCTTACAGTAAAAACACGCTCCAAAACATAAAATGTGTCTGAACATCTGGAACAGTTCCATTTTGCTTACCATATTTGAGCAATATTTAGAAACGCATAATTTTTTAAAAAAGAAAGAGATGCCCGCTTGCCCTCTCTCCTCCGTACCTGTGCAAGCCACTGCAGCAAACACCCAGCATTGCCCATAACGAACTGGCAGGCAACTATTTCTATTCCAGGAATAAAGGATGCTGAAACTTCCCATCCATCGTGAAGGAGGCTTTCCGGAATCATATGGTGGACACCATCGACCCTCAAGTATGCCACTATCATCGTCAGAGTTCACCTGAAAAGATAACAACAGTAAATCTATGTTGAGGGCATTATGAGCTTATGACTATCCTGGAAGACAGTAATGAAAAGGTCTAAAAAGTAGAAGAAATTGATGGGTCATCACATCTTTAGGGTGATTCAGAGCAAGGATTTTAATTAGCCATCTTGAATTCTCTTGCTTGTAATTACCACACCATTGCTTTTCAGATTTTGATACGTATAGTATTTTCTGTGAAGTGCTTTGAGACGTATCGAAGACATGATACATAAGCACCATATCACATGCAAAGATTATTATTATTATTTTCAGCTCACAATCTCGGCTGACACTTCAGTATAGTGCACTATCTGAGGTGCGGTCCTTCAATGATGTTTGTTATGGTGGAAATTAATGATCCCACAACACATTTTGAAAACAAAAGGGAGTTTCTCCCGGTGTCCTGGCCAACTAATCTTCAGATAAATTGGGATTAGGAGAGATGGAGTAGCAAACACTGACACAAATAATATTAATAAGATCGCATTTGATATAGTGGCTTAGCACCTTATCACGTCTTCAAGAAGTCTCAAATCACTTCACAGAATATTCTGTAATACGGCAGCCAATTGTGCACAGCAGTGTCCCACAAAAAGTCATGGATTGAGTGGCCAAATTACTAATATTTTTTTAAAGGATTATTACCCCGTAAAAGCGATCTGCAAATCGACTAACAAATGGGTGTCTACCTACTAGCAGGTAAACAGAGGCATGTGGAGTAAGAAAACTTAGGTTTCACCCTACCTGGAAACCAAACTCAGATCCTCTCTCTTGCTATGCAAGTTCTCTAACCACTAAGATAGGGGACTCCACCAATACAAATCCTTCTGTTATGTCATAGATCTATGGTGAATAATTATCAAGATTTAGTGGGTGGTGGAGGTTAATATTATGAGCAAGTCCTCAATAAGTGGCAGAATCAAACCATAAGTGAATGTCAGCTACTATTTATGAAGTACTGGTGTTGGTAATTGTTTTTAACCAAAACCCAGTTAAGGACTGGACTCCAGGGGAAGCAAAAGACGTTCAGAGAAGATTATGAAACATGGTGAAAACAAGATAGCAAATTCTACAAGGGATTATGTTTACTTTATTGGTGTAGCATTTCAACGTGTCCAGAATTTGACAAATTATTAAATTAATCTTAACTTTGAAGCTGCTTTTCAAAAAAAAACTGTCTTCTTTATTAAGGCTGTATTTAAGAATTTGTCAAATTCTGGACGATGTAAAAATGCTAAATAAATAATGTAAATTTAGGCACAGGTGGAATTTCTCCTCACAAGTTCCAATCAACTCCATTTATTTCTACCACTACCAAAGTCAAAATTTCAACCTTACCATCGCTGTCACCACCCTGCTGATGTAAACAGGATCATTTCTTCGTATGTAGTCCTTAGTTGGGTTTCTTAAGCATTTGGGATTTTTGTCCAGTAATTTGAGGCATATATCCACAACTTTTTCATGAAACTAGGAAAGAAACATTTGTGTTAATATTCTGTAATTGTTGTTGCACATTTTCTCCCTGGAGGGACACATCCTCCTTACCTAATTCCAGAAAGTATTAGGCGCAGGTTGGCAAGAGCCAAGGTATGGGACCCCAGAGTGTACTTTGGGGTAATGCTGGAGTCTAACCAGCTAAAACCATATAGCTTGTCATTGATGGCAAGCTTTCCTGCTGCTTATCCAGCTGGGATCATCCTACCCTATAGGGCTTTGGCTTCAAAATGCAAAATACTGCAGATGCTGGAGATCTGAAACAAAAACAGAAGTCGCTGGGAACACTCAGCAGGTCAGGCAGCATCTATGGAGAAAGAAAAGTGAGTTAACGTTTCAGATCCACGACCCTTCGTCAGAACTCAAAGTTCTGATAACACCAAAGGGGCTTTGGCTTGCATGGTTTATCGGGAGCTGAGTGGGATGGTTTCATGCCCCCAGTGACTAGTCTTCCTTTCCAGATGTGCTAGCCTAGTTTGATGCAATCAGCAGTGCCCTGGAATACTGCGGACCCATCTATTTTAGGAACCGGACTACCAAGCCCACCACAGAGGGCTGGCTTGATTCCGATATTACTTTGCCAAACATGTCACCTTGGAGCCAGTTTAGCTCCAAGGAGATCCCGCTTACCTTCTGCCTTAGGAGTTTGGTTCCATAAAGGAGGACTGTTTACACACAGGTCTTGTATGCCACAAACTTGAACTGCATTGAGATCTTGCTGTCCTTGACCAGAATGCCCTCCACCCCTTCTCATCGGGGTCCTTCAGTAAAGTGTCAGGCAGTATATTTTCGAGCCCCACCATAAAGAGAACAATTAAGTTGAGCAGAATGTTTTCCCAGTCTATATGTACCTGTCCGAAGATCCATGGTTTAGAGCAGATGAAATTACTCTTATTCTGGAAGATAATTCCAGTTTCGTTCATCACATACTCCTCTCGCTGTTCAGCATTGTCCAGAAAGACTTCATCCTCTGAAAAGAACAGATGTGACAATGCTGCAGATTCCAGTTGGTGTTTATTGAACTAACATGTCTAACACAATGTCTAACATACCTTCAGGATTGCAGAGTATCAAAGTATTGCATTGTCTTAGGCTTAAGAACCGTATCCATTTTTTTAAAAGTGAACACAAATGATCTTTCATTCCTTATGAGTGCAATTTACCATGTATCTGACTAATACCAGTGAAGACATTATTTGGCAATGCTCCAACAATTGCACCAATGCAGCAGAACAGGAAAGCACAGGTTGCAAAGGACAATTTCAGTACAGATGCCAGGAAGTATTTATTTATACTGAGAGGAATGAATAACGGTTTACAGTTGAGGACAGGATCAGGATACTGGACTTAATTAAGATGGCTTGATGCTGGAATGGGAGGATGGCAGGGTGGGAGTTCTGGGAGGATTCAATCAAAAGACTAAATGAAGGGTCTTATTCACTTGGATCGATCTTGTGATCTTATACTGTGTGGAGAGCATTAAAAGGCTTTATACCTGTGCACCATGGGTTAAAAAGCAGGACAAATTCTCCCAGCTCAGAAACCTGTTCTTCTGTTGTGTCTTGCAGATTCAAGGTGTAACGCCCAATCCTGGCATTTGGCGAAGAGATGATAGCCAGTGACAGTACATCCCCGCTCTGGGAAAGAACCCTTGTGTTCCATGTACCTTTACCTAACGAGTCTGAAAGTGGCATAAAAATCTTGGTTCCAGATGTAACTGATGCTTTCAATCCTACAATGAGACAAGAAGATTTCCATTCATTTAAATCTACATCAGATCAGACATAAAATGACATCGCCACAGGAATTGCCACAGGAAGAAATGCCCTTGGCTTCCCACCACCCCTCACCTCACCCTGTGGGTTAGAGCCCACACATGGAGTCCTGTAGCTCAGTGGTTAGAGCACTCGCTTTGCAAGCGAGAGACCTGAGTTCAATTCCAGGCAGAGGGCGAAACCTTGGGCAAGTTTCCTTACTCCACACAGAGCCTAATAATAATCCCTCCAAAATCAAAAACAATAATAAATTGGTCATTTTCAATCTACGACTGTTTGTGGGACATTGCTGTGCGCAATTGGCTGCCGCGTTCGCCCACAAAAAATACAGTCAATTCACTTTACAGTGTGTTCTGTGAAGCGCTTTGACGTGAAAAGCGCTATATCAAATGCAAGGATTATTATTATTATTATTATTATCTACACTACACTATTGTTAGCTATTGGGCAAAGCATTGGGCAAAGCATTCCTGTTTTGTTGCCATCCCTAGTGCTTGGTGTTCTTTGTAAAATAAATGGAACCAAATTTAAGAAAGAACACGTCTGTTCTGCACTATAGTTTGAATGGAAAACATACTTTCCAGCAAGTTTTGTAAGTGTTGTCACCAGGGCAACTCAGTCATTTTATGAGAGAGTTTCAAGGGGAGCGGTAAAGTTTCCCTACCTTAGGACAAGTTTGGGCAGAAGCTCCCAGCTTTCACTACGCAAATGATGCATCACACTCACTCTCACCTCATTGAGAAAAAATGTGAAGGTCAGGCTAGAGTCAATTCTGACATACGACTGTGCTTTAGGCTAAAGCCACCATTAACCAACTGCTACTCCTATCTCGCTTTCTTTACTTTAACAATTTGCCAAATTCTAGTTACTCAAAAATTGCAAGGAAATGGAGTAAATCTGGACTCGGGTGGACTTTTTTCCACTTAACAAGGAGCAGCTGTCATTGTTCTTCATATTCCGTGTGTATGTAATTACCAGTGAGATATAATACAAAATCTCTGAGGCTTGGGGCCACAATGGCTCAAAGGCGTTACCTGAAGTCAAAGTTTGTGAAAGTACATTTGTACATCCAACGCCTGCAACCCACCTTGTTTGGCTGGCAGAGGTAAGCAACTGCTGCTTAAACCGTGCACCTCCAACTGGTGGAAACGTAGCTCAATGGAAAGGGATGTGTGCCTGAGCTTTGGACAGGAAGATGGTGGCAATGCTCTCATACATTTCATGTTGAGCTGTGTTGGCCACCAAGAAGCTGATAGGGTGTTCCTGGTACCTACCATCCACCTAGTGAGGGCTCAAACCTACTCTTGTTGGACATCAAATGGCAAACTATTGACTGTCCTCCTTGAGCAGGAAGTAAGCTGGGTCTCCTTGGAGCTGGACTGGCAAGCTATGTGGTTTTAGCTGGTTAGACTCCAACAGTACCCCAGTGCATGCTCTGGGATCCCAAAGCCTTGGCTCTTGCCTAATACTTTCAGGAATTAGGTAAGCAAGATGCTTCCCTCCAGGGAGAGAGTGCGCATCTATCTCTGTTAATTTCCATGGGAAGTGGGATGCATGGAATTTTCAATTTGGTTTAGATACTCTTAAGCATGGTGATGGGTTTCCATGTGTGTCAGATGCCTGACTGACCAAAAAAAAAAGCTTGCATTTATTAGATTGCTGTTACTTCAGGAAAAAACATCTTTAAGCGCTTCACAGGATTTACTGTAAAGTTTAGTCACTGTGTATTTTACAGGCAAACAGGCCAGCCGTTTTCACACAACGATGTCCCACCATCAACCAATAAGTGAATGACAAATTTTATTTGGGGGATTGTTGCTCAGAATACCAGGTGAAACTCCCTTATCTTCTCGTATAGTGGCATTGGTTGTTTTTCCCATACATCTGAACAAGCAGACAGAACCTTGGTTTAACATCTCATCCTAAGGACTGAGCCTTCAACAATGTGGTGCACAGTACAGTACTTGTCCCCCGACCCACCCACCCCACCATTGGCGGGAGAGCCTTCAGCCACTCTGCCCCCAACCTCTGGAATTCCATCCCCCAATTACTCCGCCTCGCCCCCTCCTTAGCCTCCTTCATATCCCGCCTCAAGACCCTCCTCTTCGACCATGCCATCGGTCACCCCCCTTCCCCTCCCCTCCCTTCTCCCCCCCTAACCCCATCTTGAGTCTGAAATGTTGTACACTGTCCAGCATTTCACGTCCTCCCGCCGTGACCCCTCATCTTACCAGCTGCATTAAATTATGCATGTTCAGTGTAGATTATTGATTAAATTGTGGAGTCCTGTAGCTCAGTGGTTAGAGCACTCGCTTTGCAAGCGAGAGACCTGAGTTCAATTCCAGGCAGAGGGCGAAACCTTGGGCAAGTTTCCTTACTCCACACGCCTAATAATAATCCCTCCAAAACCAAAAACAATAATTAAATTGGTCATTTTCAATCTATGACTGTTTGTGGGACATTGCTGTGCGCAATTGGCTGCCGCGTTCGCCCACAAATATACAGTCAACTCACTTTACAGTATATTCTGTGAAGCGCTTTGGGACGTCCTCCCGACGTGAAAAGCGCTATATCAAATGCAAGGATTATTATTATATTATTATTATTAAATTGGATTTTCTGTTACTTATACAGATTGCCTGCAACTCGAATTTCACGCAAGTCATTATTTTGAAACTTATTTGAACTTGCACAAATGCATTCCTGAATAATTACCTGTCTCTGCAATGAGTACAATTTTGTCAGCTTTATCTCTGAACCCATTTTGACTGAAGTTCACTGTAATGTGGAATTCCTGCCCACGTCTGAGTATCAGTCGCTTGATGCTAATCTCATCCGTTCGGTGCTCCTTATTATTCTTCTCAAAGTAAAACTCAGTGGAATTCACTGTAAGAAAGAAATCACTATATCAATACAATTACAGTCTCACAAGTATCATTCTATCATCGACTGATTTTGGCCATTTGGTCTATACAATCTGTGTTATATATTTTCCCCATATGAGCTACCTGATCTAATGCCAATCTCCTGCTTGCTCCCCATACCCTTTATTATTATTCTTTCTCAGTTAAAAAAGCCCAAATTTATACTAGTTTTTGTGTAGACTATTTTGTCTTAAAATGAGTTTGCACTTATGGAAAATTCTTAAACTAAGTCTTAATCTTAATAATATCACAACCCACCTACAATCTCCAACTGACAGGTAACGCCATTAAATTTCACTGGATTTCTAAAATGGATCAGGAACACAGGGTGTGTTTCATGAGTCAAGGAAATCCTCTCGACTGCACCTCGTAACTCATTAGCCATTACAACTGAAACAATCTCACTTGAAGAAGGAACAGAGTAGTAGCAGTACACAATTTGGGATTTTTTCCATTTCAATTCACTTAAAGATACTCATGCACAGAATTAGAGATAGCACTGAAGACTTTAGAGTATGTAAAAGAATATACATCTGTATTTCATGCGCAATTAATGTAATATCCCAACTCACCAGTTGTCATTTTATATCCGATGAAGTAATCTCTCAGTCGGTGCAGCACTCTGCTCTGGAGCACCTTCTTTAAATCTAAGGGCAAATGAAAGAAGTATGCCAACATTTATATCCTCAATCTGTAATGTAATTGGCTACAGCATGCCTGAGCACTGCCCATTTTATGAGGATAGTTTTGTTTGACAGGGAATAACACAGCCCCTAACACTAATCCACAGTTTTGGCTGTGCATTTTCTGTTAATAGTTGTTTTTCAGGTTCCAAATCAGTTTGGTTTGCTGCAATCTCTTATGCAATCACCTCCTTGTTTTATTGACCCATCACTATTTTATTTCTAGTTTGTTCTCTGCCCCTTCTGCCTCAACACCTTAATAGTTCTCACTCCCACCCCCATCCCCCAGAGACCAGGAGACCTACATTTTACCCTGCTCTTGGCCTGCAACACCATTTTGTCCTAAAATTTAAAAATCACATAGAATTGTGTAAAATTACTAAATTCAATCTAAATTCTGGAAGCCAAATTTTCAATGAATTTAGCAAATTTCTACAATTCTGGGTAACCTTAAATCTTGAGACAACATGGCCTTATTGGCTGATGCCTGACCTCGAGACCTCTCGAGAGGAACAGGAAATTGATCCGCAAATGAACTGACCCGACTGGCCTAGTAAAGGTGAAGTGCCGTGGGCCGCCATCCGCAGGGGATCTTAACGACATCACACAACTGCATGTCCTTCACCACATTCAGGAGCAACGTGTCCAGGTTCCCGTCAGTCTTGGTGGATCTTCCACCTACCTCCAAAATGCAGTTGAAATCACCTCCTGGAATGATTGGCCTGGACATGACTAATGGCCTGGAACAAGGCCATGAACTCTTTCTTTTCTGTTGAAATGTAAACATTACTACTACTGCTAATAATAATCTTTGCATATGATACAGCGCTTCATCATGTCTTCGAGAGTTCTCAAAGTGCTTCACAGAATATACTGTAAAGTGTATTGACGGTATATTTTGTGGGCGAAACGCGGCAGCCAATTATGCACAGCAGCGTCCCACAAATAGTCGTGGATTGAGTAACCAATCAGCCTGATCAGAGTGTCTTTATACAGCACGTCCAGCGCTAGGAGTTTCCCTCCTTCCCCTCCCCACCTCACCAGCTGGAGTCCTGTAGCTCAGTGGTTAGAGCACTCGCTTTGCAAGCGAGAGACCTGAGTTCAATTCCAGACAGGGCGAAACCTTGGGCAAGTTTCCTTACTCCACACAGAGCCTAATAATAATCCCTCCAAAACCAAAAACAATAATAAATTGGTCATTTTCAATCTACGACTGTTTGTGGGACATTGCTGTGCGCAATTGGCTGCCGCGTTCGCCCACAAATATACAGTCAATTCACTTTACAGTGTGTTCTGTGAAGTGCTTTGGGACGTCCTTCCGACGTGAAAAGCGCTATATCAAATGCAAGGATTATTATTATTATATTATTATCTCCTTACGGTCAGTGAGGGTGAGATTCTTCCCATGCAGTAGGACCACCATCCCAGAGCTGCAGCAGTCATTGCCCCGAAATCACACAGAGGTTTCCACCAATTAGACCAGGCCCTGTAGCTGCTGTGGTGTGGAATCGTGCACTCCTGCGGGAACAGGACATCAGCCTTTACCCTGGACAGGTAGTGAACTGTGGCAAAACAGCTCGTGCTTCTACAGGGTACGTTCAGGGTACCTATCCTCAGCAATATCTTACTCATTCATGGCCCCTCCATCTCCATTCCCTTGCACTGTTTCAGAACAGATGTTGTTGAGGGGCCTGGCATTACTCTTGACAAATTGTCCACCTTGTTTTGGGGGTTCAGACTTTCCCTCGTGTTGTTATGGCCAAATATCCCCCTTTTCTGTGTTTCCACCATCTTTTTCTTCTTCCTCTCCTTGCTCTTTCATGACCTTTTGCCGGCCACCTGTCCCTGTCCATCTTTCTTGGACGCTTTCAGTTCCTCGCTGCGCTGCCTCGAAGGTTGATACTAGGTAACCTCCTTATCTTCCTCACTGCCCTCCTGCTCATTCAAAATAGAGTCTGAATCTTCCTCAGAGGAGGTTTATTGCCAGGATGGCTCATTGGTATAGGTGACATGCTTCCCCGCACAGGTCACATCGCTTGCCCGAAGGGCCATTCTTTGCGACATGGCCAAAACCTTTGCATTTCCAGCAATGTAATGTCTCAGCTGACTGTGACTCAGGCTGCTCAGGGCTGTCCAGGATGAGTACAAGGTGCCCCTGAATATCCCAATGTTATAACAGGAGATGGATGTGAATGACACTCCCCACCCTCACCTTTCTGGTGCAGTTTCAGCCACACCTCCTTGGAGTGTCTCTCCAAAAAGGTGAGGGTGTTAGCCTTTGGAACTTGGGGGTGACTCATCCGAAGTATGGCTCATCTCTCCTTCTTGATCTGCTCCTGAAAGAGGGCCTTGATCTCATAGGGATATATAGAGCTTGATCTCCATTTTTCTGGAGGGCGATCTCTTTCAGTTTCAGCACCTCCTTGTACCTCCTTTTCTCTTTATCCACGCAGACACACATCAAACTTTCTTTGGATGTGCTGCAGCATTGTTAGCAATGCCTGCGAATCAGGCTCCCTATGGAGATGGTTGAAGAGGGAAGTGCTGATTCTTTCAAGCACAGATTAGATAGTTTTCTTTTAGGAAATAACATTATGGGATATAGTACATAGGTAGTTCGGGACACATGTGCATGCGACCGCCAGGAAGAAGGGAGGTGAACGAGATGGACTTAACTAGGTGGCTTCTAATCTTGACTTAGCAAGAGCAAACTGTTCTTAGTTCTCCCTAAACAGGGAGAAACCCAGCCCTTTCCCCAGGCTCCTCTCAGGCAGAGCCTATTATAAATCTCTCACTCAGTCTTTCCTCACCTCACTCATATAAAACATAGCAACTTTATTCTCAGATCCCAGTACCACACCTTCTACTTTAATGGCTCCCTTTATTACAAGTTAACTTCTTAAACAGCAATATCCTACAGAATGTATTGCTTCAAGTGGCTATTGAGACTAATCAAATCATCCTTGCATTTGGGAACTGGAGAGCACCTGAGAGTAAAAACATTGAAGGACATGGGGAGAGAGATGGAAAGTGAGATTAATTCAAAAAATAAGAGCAATTTAGAAAAACAGTAAGGCTGTGACTACATGAGCAGAACAGGTCTTTATGCAGTGGACAAGCAGTGGGAAAGCTTAGCCGACAGCGAAATCAATGGCAAGCTACTCGGTTTTAGCTGGTTAGACTCCACCAGTTATCCCCATCGCACAGTCTGGGGTTCTCAAGCCTTGGCTCTTGTCAATCTGTACCTATCACTTTCCGGAATTGGGTAAGCAGGATGTGTCCCTCCAGGGAGAGAGTGCGCATTCCATTCTGACAGTGTATCTCTGGAATTTCCATGTGTATACGGAAGATACAAGGAATTCTCGGTTTGGTTTGGATTCTCCTAAGCATGGTGATGGGTTCCACGTGTGTCAGACATCTCAGCTAACTAAATCCAAAGTTGTATTGATTGTCAAGGTGTGTTGTCCTGAGGGATCAGTGACAGAAACATAGGAATGTGCGGGATCAGAGGAGACCATTGAGATCCTTTGACTGATGCATTGTTGGCAAAGTTATCAATCTCATCTTCAATGACACAGGATAGGTAAAATATCTCAAGGCAAGGGGGAGAAGTTATAATAATAATAATAATAATAATAATAATAATAATAATAATAATAATAATCCTTGCATTTGATATAGCGCTTTTCACGTCGGGAGGACGTCACAAAGCGCTTTACAGAACACACTGTAAAGTGAATTGACTGTATATTTGTGGGCGAACGCGGCAGCCAATTGCGCACAGCAATGTCCCACAAACAGTCGTAGATTGAAAATGACTAATTTATTATTGTTTTGGGTTTTGGAGGGATTATTATTAGGCTCTGTGTGGAGTAAGGAAAGTTGCCCAAGGTTTCGCCCTGTGCCTGGAATTGAACTCAGGTCTCTCACTTGCAAAGCGAGTGCTCTAACCACTGAGCTACAGGACTACTGGTTCCAGTTATGGAACCAAATGGGGTTTACTCTGTCATGTTGCCAGAAGACAATATAAGAGCAACATTGACCTGGCACAAGATGCCTGAAATTCCACCTAGCCTTAACCTATAAGACCATTTTGTCTCAAAATTTAAGAACACGCAGAACTATAGAAAATTCTTAAATTCACTGAATTCAGAAGGCTTTTTTTTTAATAACTGTGAAAATTGTGGCTTCCTAATTCAGACTGACTTTAGTAATTTCACATAATTCTGCGTGACTTTAAAGTTTTAGCACACAATGGTGTAACACGCCAAGAGCAAGGTGGAATTTAGGTCTCCTGGTCTGGGGGTGACCAGTAAGATGCTAAGGCAGAAGGGGGAGGAAACAAACAAGAAATGAAATAGTGTGGGCTCAAGAAAATGAGGAACAACAACAACAACAAAATTACAATTGTAAAGTGCCTTTCAGGTCCCTGGACAGAAAGAATTATGGACCCGAGCTGGGGGTAGGGTTGGGGGAGGGCGAAGGGCAGGGGGGAAAGTAGGGAGATCGAAAGCACGGTTGAAGAGGAGGGCCTTGAGATGGGTCTTGAAGGTGGCAAGGGATGGGGTGAGATGTAGGGACTACGGGATGGAGTTCCAGAGGATGGGTGCAAAGTGGGGGAAGGCCCAACTGTCAATAGTAGGGACGTGAGGAAGGCCGGAGCCTGCTGAGCGGAAGGAGCGAACAGGATGGTAGGGGGCTAGGAGATCGCAGAGGTATGGGGGAGCAAGACCATGGAGTGCTTTGAAGGTGAGGACCAATATCTTGAACTGTATCATCTGTATCATCTGTGTGATACCCTCTTCACCCTCTACATGCTCCCCCTGTGGTGACATCATCCGCAGACATTGGGTTAACTTCCACATGTATGCGGATGACATCCAACACTACCTTTCCTCCTCTACTCTCAACTCCACGACCACCGATGTCCTGACAGCCTGCCTGTCTGACATCGAGTCCTGGA